AAAAAAAAAAAAAAAAAAAAAAAAAAAAAAAAAAAAAAAAAAAAAAAAAAAAAAAAAAAAAAACGAAAAGAAAAAAAAAAGAGACTTCCTGAACGCCTTGATAACCACCGGATACATTCTAGGAGGTGCCTGTGCGACAGTGCCCTCAGTGAGGGCGTGTACGGGAAAAAACACACAAGCAACGAAAAAAAAGAAAAAGGAATCCCTTATGCTGTGATTGAGGGCGGCTACATGATGCTACAGCAGTGAGTGAGACAGTTACGTGCCAGGAGTGAAATACGACTTGCCTGGCTGGCAGGGCACTACAACGAATTGAAAACAAAAACAGAAAGAAAAACCAACCGCAATCTGTTTCCCGACGTAGTGGGCAGGAATACATACATTCCTAAAAAAGCAATGGCGTAACTTCCACCCTGGTGAGGGCCTTCCCCGACGTCCTTGGGGTGAAGTCCCACCGCGGAGAGTTTTCTCAACGCTGAGCTTTCTATCACGTGTGGCATGGTGCGATGGAGCTCTGCTGTTGATGTATTGAAAATCTAAGGGTACCGAAATACAGGAGAATAACCTAGGCAAACGTCATAAGACCTCCCCGCGACGAAACCTTTGTATCCCCATTTCCCCCCAAATGCGGAAAAAGTTGCGGCAGGCCCCAAAATCACTTTCGGACTCATTTTTGCACCCTTTTTTTTTTTTGTTTTTTTGTTTTTTGTTTTTTTTTGCACCCTGCAAAACACTTTCCCGCCATTTTTACACAGCGGCCGGTACTGGCCCAGCCAGCCTGAGGGTGCAAAAATGACACCAAAAGTGATTTCGGGACCTGCGGCACTTTTTCCCCCGTTTGGGGGCAAATGGATACAAAGGTTTCGTCGCGGGGAGGTCTTTTGACTTTTCCCAATAACCTGTTGGATTTGGTTGTTTTGTACTTTTTTTTTTTTTTTTTTTTTTTTTTCCGGAATTGGAACAACTTTTTTCCTTGACGTGAAATCCGTTTTGTAGTATGCTTTGGCCCTTTCCGTTTGGGCGGGAAACCATTTTTCATTGAAAAAACTACCCTACCGAGGGTAGGGTACATTTCTCAACTTATGCGCCTTAAATCCTTTTTTTTGTTTTTTCAGACATCATTACATCCTGAAACGGAGGAACTCTGACAGCTGTGTTTGGTTCTCTGGCATCAAACTCTCTTCCTTCTTTGGGCAATGAACGCATCTGGCCATCCATGTTGTCCCTGTTTCAAAAAACAATTAAAAAAAATAAATAAATAAATAAATAAAAAAAAAAAATTGCAAGGAAGATGAGCATTGGAGAACTTCAGCAATCAAACAGCATCATACATATGAGTCCAGATAGTCTTGACCTCGAACCACAGCAGACTCGCATCACGAGATACACCAAATAAGAACACACCAAGAGTTCAAAATTGACAATGCTGAAGTAGTCCCATCATCATCAACTACGAACCAGAGTTGATATCCTATTGGCGCTCGGCGCCCAGACTACAGTTGGCAGATCCTATCTAGCCTATACTACGAAGCAGAACGATGACATCAACAGCGTTCCCGAAGTACGAGCATATGGCCACCAATGTCGCATGCTTCAGCACCAGGTATGTCTCTCGTAACACTCACAACCCCGATCCACACCGCACAGATGCCACTAGCACCCCAAGGACCACCCTGCGCTTCACCTAGCATACAGCAGCGCAGCTTGGCTATGGCTGCGTGCTCCCTCCTACTCGCCCGTGAGAGCGTGAGTGCCAGCCAGCCAGCGGATTGCGCAGCAGCGCTCACGCAGCATGCAGCCAGCACCCGAATGCCGAATGAGAAGGCAGGCCCTTCCCTATATCGAAGTGGCCTGCCTGCGTCCAGTCCAGGAAGCTTCCGGTAGGCCCCGGTAGGCACAGGCCCAGTCACGAAGAGAGCAGGCCTTGGGCCTGAAGTGGTTGCATGCGCCCAACTGCTTCCGGCCTGTGTTTGGCCCGGTACCCGTATCCAGCCTAGGCCCTGCTTCACATTCATTTACACCGGTGGCCCAGGGCCTGGATTCATTCAACCAACTGGCGCAACGCAACTGTCTGAATTTCCCCGATGGGGGGTACCCTGAAGAATGAGGCCCGAAGGGCCTGCCGTGCCTGCCTTCACTTAGGGCGGCCGACCTTGTTGCAGATAGGGCCCCGTAGGGGCTAAGCGGGTGTAGCCTCGCAATGGTGTCACACGGTTGCTTTATCTAAACTTGGGCGGTGGGACTTTATCTAGACTGGGGACTCTTTGTTTTCTTTCTTTTCTTTTCTTCGGTTTTTCCTTTCTGTTTTCGAAGGCCTCCAACCCTGCCCTGAGCCCCGTGTTTTCAGGAGTAGGCTACTAGATGGACTTTGCGTTTGCCTTTGAAAGGTATGGGTTGTTATCTAAAAAAAAAAAAAAAAAAAAAAAAAAAAAAAAAGACGCGTGCTGCAAAATGACATGTTCTGCACATCTGCCATGATTTCAAACTGTGCCAGTTCATTTTTGCCACAACCGAATCAAACAGACTGACCTTGGTCACGACTTCCTTTTCATTTTTTTTTTTTCATGCAAACTGTCAATTCTTTACGATTGGTTTTCAAATTTCTTTCAAACCTCGACAGTTTGCAGAAAAAAAAAAAATGATGTGCTTGTCGCTCCCGCATCAGAAAAACAAGGAGGGTACACGCTCGCTCCCGCATTAGAAAAACAAGGCGGGTAGTACAGGGTAAGTGACGGAGTGTGAGCAATGGAGTGAGGGAGGGAGGGAGGGAATAGTCGCACAAAAGACGGCAAAGCGGATTCCTTTATGCACTGCTCAAACGCAAAGGGACGGTAACCAAAGGAGGAGGTGGTATGACTGGAATAAATTATGAACATATCCGTCCATCATCTCCCATCCGAAATGAAAATCCTCTGGAGAACAACAGATCGACAAAGGGTAGTGCAGTCTGCAAGCAGGCTATACTTCAAGAAAAAGAGGGGAGAGAGGCACCACTTCCACTTCCGGACAGCCAATGACAGAACTGCGATGCGATGTTATTGTCGCGTCTTAGGAGGCAGCTGCTCTGCTCTTGTGATTGAAGAGGGAAGAAAGGGCTACTGCTGCCGCTTCCAGGCCAGGCCCTGCCTGATGAGCGGCGACATCGGGAAAGTGCGATAACATACGCACAACCCTTTTCTCCACATATGTCCTGAGGCTCCTCTCTCTGACCACAAGCCTGCTCCTCATCATGATGGCTGAGGACTCCACGCCGCAGAAAGAATGATGTGATGTGACTGAAGTCCTTAAAAATGTAATGTACTGCAGAGATCGACACATATTCCAGTTGTGCACAGAGCGTTCCCCCATTCGATGATGACCGAGCAACAGTACACGAAATGCCGCAGAATGCCTTCTGATTCAGAGAGATCTTGGGCATCCATCATCTTTTCACAAACGAGTGCAGGCTCATCTGCCTCATCAATCGTATGATTCGTATCCCTTATGGAAGTTTTCAGTTCTACGTTGCACAACGGAAATGTCAAGCGATACCTCTTCTAGAAGTTTGCCGTTCTGCATTGGCCATCAGAAATGTCAGGCGATAAAACACACTCTCTATCCTCTCACCCGTCCGGGCTGTCTGTCTCTATAACTACGAGTCTGCCGTGCACCATAAACTCAACTACACGTCCCTAAACGAGTTTGGTCCTTCCTATTCCATCTCTCTCTCTCTCTCTCTCTCTCTCTCTCTCTCTCTCTCTCTCTCTCTCTCTCTCTCTCTCT